TCCAACATCGGTTAATTTTAAGTTACAATTATTTATTTTATAAAATAGCTTTTTAAATAAAATTAGTTGTCATTTTCTTATCTAGCATACAGGTTATCCCAATGCTTAATATTTCTCTGATTATGAAATTGGTTTAGTATTCAATCATTCCAATTTTTTTTTTTTAATCCTTTAGTCTTGAATAGAGAGAGAGAAAAAAGATAGCATGTTTTTTAACTACTGGTATGTCTATAGATCTGAGCTCATACCAAATTTAATAAATTTATTGCTTTTAATTGAACCTTTCCTTTTTTAAAATATTAAACCTGACAATTTGACAAAATTCTTATCTATTATCAAATGCACAGAGATTTTGTTCCCTTGCAATGTATGAATTTTTCTGCCCAGGTGGGCAACCATCCTGCAAGTTATGGGGGAGCCCCATATTAAAAGCTACATGTAGTGTTTTATTTTGAGACAATGTATTATCTTTACTAGATGAATGCTGAGAGTAATCCGCCTTCAGTGATGGAAGGATGAAATTTTTATGAAGTTATTTTTATGCAAGTCCTTATTTCAACAAGATTTGAGCCAAGGGCATTTAATGTTGAATGAAGATTTAATGGTAAATGCTTTTTTTTTTTATTATATATATTGTTCATGCCTTATTGTATTCTTAAATGCTTAACATTGGTGATATTTTTCTTTGTGGTTTTTACCTCTATAATTATATGTAATAACAAATAATTATGTAAATTACTGTTCATTGTGTGAAAGTTTTAGTTGATGATGTAGTTGCATATTTATGAGTGTGAATGGTATCAAAGTGTTAAACATTTTAAGAGCATTGAATTGGACCTGTTGTACATTGGCAGTATGTGATGTTCATCTTAAATGATTCTAAATAAAGTATGCAACTTTGTGTTGAAGGCATTAAATGAACATATGCTCACCTGTTCTTAAAATGGTATTTTAATTTTTTTTTGTCACTACAAACACAGTATGATAATATAATGTGTAAATGGGTGCTGCTACTACTAGCATTAAGAAATTTAATATTTATTCAATGAACCAGAAGTTAGTTTTAATGATTTCCTTTGTAAAATATTACAGCTTATTTGAATGAATCAGCTTTTCACAAAATTGGCAAGGGTTAAATTTAGGTTAATGTACCAGTACCCATACATTAAATAGTGCTGAAAATGCACAACTACACTGCAAAACTTAGATTAGATTCTGGTCTTGACAATGCATGGATAATTGTCCACATGACTAAGTTAATAATATATATATATACTGTATTCAGACCTTTGTAATTTGCAATAGGCATCCTGAGTACTACTTTTTTTTTTGTGTTCATTTAATCAGCATCTGTACAGATGACAGTGTGAAAAAAGTAAATCCCCTTTCTAACATTAGATTTAAGATATGGAAAATCTACTAAAATTTAGGAAAAGAAAGAATACTGCCCATACAGCATTTTTTTCTGGGTTTTGAAACTGAAATAAAGCATTATAAAGGACAATTTAGTTTTAGTAAGAAGGCAAACTTCTATTAAATAGTGACTGGACAATTTTAATTAGGTAGTCAGTACCCAGGGGGCCCTATGCGAAATGGATTGTGCGGGGCCCAGTCTGGGTAGGGATAAGTGAAAATTAAGATTTTGTATTAGAAATTGGGGTCCATGAAAGTGTGGGGCCCACTGCATAGGTTGCAGTGGCCTAAGGCGACCTGGTCAGTCAGTACTGATACAGTGGTGGGGAACCTTTTTAGGTTGGAAGGCTGCTTTATCAATATCAGCAGATAAAAACACCAGAGGGGGGAGGGGTTTGTGTGTGGAAGGTTCTTCTTGCCATGGTCAGTTGGCTAAATATTTTTACTTGGTATGATACTGCTTGTTGACAGTGCTTGTGATATAGAGGTTCACTAACTATAAATTGCAATACATGTATTAATTAATGGTACAGTACCTAAAATATCTCGTATTTCTTTGACAACTTTTACTTCCCCTGTTCCATACAGAGCAGAAAAAGGAATTACCCTTTGACAGCAACAGTGAAAGTTTTGATCACATATCAAAGACTTTATTTGTGTGTGCATTTGTAGCCTTCACATTAAATGACAAATAAATGCCATTTGAGATCTACTTCCTTTGGCGAATGCTGATCTTGAGAATCATTATTTTGAAATCAGTGTGTACTTTCCATCTAAGTATTTTCTCAGGAAATTTCACTGAATTTCAGGGTTTTTGTTTATTTTTATTTCGGGGGGGGGGGGGGGGTGTCTCAAAACCAAAATGAGCTGTGGTGGTTGAAAATAATTAGTTGAGGTGGGGGGCAAAAAATGAATCTTGACGCAGAACACAAGCTATGCGCCTTTCAGTGGCGTAGAAAGGGGGAGGATGAGATTTTCATTCAGGTGTCACTTTTTCTTTATATGGAGATGGGGCATTTTCGGACAACTGCACAGTTTGAGTTTCTATCATGAAAGGAAGAGCGGCAAAAATATTTGGCACTAGATCTAATAGTAATTGTAGCTGTGACACAAGTTAGTGTATCTTTCGTCACCAAAATTATTGATAATTTTTCATTGGGGTGTAGGGTAGTAACGGGTTTCGCCGATGAATCTTGCTTTTATTTATGTAAATATAGGCAAGAAAACGATCATACTGGTAAACTCAGCCAACCAAGAGTGTATCTCTCTGGTAGGAAATGCACTGGAAGAAGTGGAAGCTTTCACATACTTAAGCAGTACCATTGACTTAAATGGCGGATCCAAAGCAAAAGTCAGGGCTAGAATAACTTGAAAAGGCTAGGTCATTAAAGTGTGGCAAATTCTTCTCTTAATGATATAGTTTATCCTTGCCATTATTATCACCCCACCAAAAAACTTCTAGTGTTCCTTAATTTCACTGCAAAATCACTTGAAATCATTCTACGGGTACCATATAGGTAAAATAGCCATTAGTTAACTATTAATAATTAACACAATGAATGACTAGTTACACTTTTACAGGCTTTACTATTAATGTTAACAAATGAATTAAAAATACTGGTACTGGTACACAATGTTAAGGACAGTTTCCTTTTTTTTTTCAATTGAACTGAAATGCATAAGAAAAGGAAAAGAAATAAAAGTACCTGTATGTTTAAAAAAATAATTTTAATATGGGATAGTGGAAGAATTATACAAAATGGAAGAAGTACGGTATATGAAAGACAAACGTAGAATTAGAATGATAGGAAAACTTCTGAGTTGCCTTTTCTGGTAAATAATCAAATTTAAATCATTAACATAGTTCACATAATTCTACCCAATAATTTTAGGTTAGAAGGTTTGGGTGCTTTTAATTCCTTTTATTTTTATTAATAGTAGTCCTATAGAAAAGATGTTGCTTCATATCATTCTACAAACAATTGTGCTTTGACTGCTTCCATTCCAATGATTATCCAGTATTGCTATTTTCTACATTCATAAAAGTTTACTTGGGCTACAAATTATTAATTTCTCAATATAGCTATAGGACTGAGTCTGATAGTATAGATTTTTCTTTCTAAAATAATAATCGATAAGGTACTCCAGCTTTCATTTGTTCATCTAATTGATAAGTAAATTACGTAGCTATAATTTATTAATAATAATACGGTGCATAAATAATTCTATACCCACTTTATTTAATTTATCATGGAACATCTAACCATAAAAATGCATAAGATAATAAATATTAAAAAGCAAAAAATCTTGTGCATAGCACATACACATGGTGCATTGTATCAAATATTGAAACAAAATATGATCAAAGTAGTCATAAGATTGTATTAATAAGTACAGTACGGGTATTTTGCAAACCTCAGTAGGGTACTGCCTATTAAAAATTATTTTATACCAATATATTTTTTGTGCTGTAGACTCTGCAACTAACCGTACTTATACTAGTTATACATATACTAGTTATTATACATAGTGAGTATAAAGGTCAGAAGGAGCATGATTTAACATGCCACTAGCAACATCTGAGAAGATACCATAATACTGCTGCATTTATTAACCATACTCTGATCAAAATACTTTTTACAAAGACCTTTCACAGCTCAAATTTTTCTTTTAACATGTAAAAGAAAAAAAAATTGAAAAGAAAACTTAATGGTTTATTTAGAGATACAAGTAAGAGACAACAAATTGACTTAATGGATATGTAATTTTATAAGGTTGTCATCTGTGAATGTACAAGGAAGTAAAATTATAACATAAAATGCTGTTATCAAATAAAAGCCTACCGGTACTAAATTAAACACAAAAAGTATTTTTATCAAACTTTTCATGGTACTGGTAATAAAAACAAACAGCAGTCACTGTCCTACTACTACTATTTTAAAAGTTCCTGCGTGAGTTGCAAACAGCAATTTATTTTCAATTAAATTATTAAAACTAAGCCAAGAAACTGTGTGGGTAGCGCCTATAGTACCAGTATTTAGTATTCTCTATAAGTAATTTGATAAAATAAATGTTAAAGCCCATGGCAGCTAGTTCTGCCATGTCTACACTGCTGAGGCAATAGATACATGATATTGTGTTGTGCATGAAAGAGAATTGTGTACACCAGCGATCCTCAACATTTTTGCTGCTGGCCCATTTCATTAGTTTCGCAACTTAATGGGTTCCCTTCATTCACTGTTAAAAAAATTTGCTCTTTTTTGTATATAATATATGATGTCCTTTTTTAAAAGTTTTCATTGCCCAAAGAAATATACTCATGCCCCTGGTGGATATGGCCCACATTGAGAAACACTGGTGAACAAAACAGGAGGTGCGTGTATTGGATGCATGTAATCATTTCATACATGCATATTCAAATTCTAATGTATAGTCTTTAAGATATTCATATTTTTCTTGGGGCTCTAGAGTGTACCAGAACATAATGATGTTTCTTATTTCATATTTTGTTAATGAAAATGGTTTTACAGCATTTCATTTTAAAGGGGGCAATTCATGTTCATGTTATTATCAACAAACATAATCACAGTTTGAATTTAGTTCTTGACAGCTTTTTCCTCAAATTAAGCACCATATTTTGAGATAGCCTGTAGTTAAATGGAAAGATTTGGTTTAAATTATGTTAGGCCTTGTATTGTTTTTTTCAACCTTTTTTTAAAAAAAGTACCTAATAGCATGAGACTGTACTATTAGAAATAGAAAATATCAACTATTTTGGTGAAGAGCATCATTCAAGCATATTTTTATTATATAAATAAGGCAGGTTCCATCTTACTTTGCAGGTTAAGTGCAGAAAAAAACTATTCTTTTATTGCCAATTTTGTAAACAACCTGCTGGAACTTTTTGAGATACTTTAGTATTCCAGATATTCAGATATTATTAATCTAAAATAAAATTTCTACAAAAAAATGTTTCCTTTGGACATTCTTTAAAACATGGTACCACTTTTATATGCCCATTAAAATCAGCATTTTAGAATTTTAAAAATGAGCCTTTCACCTTACATTACATGAACTTTACTTCATACTGACAGCTTGAGTTTGAAGTTAAGATATGACTACAATTGTTTTAAAAAAAGTAATTCTCTAGATAAAAAGCCTATTTACATTTTTAATTAAGTGACTACTGTATCCATATAACCAAAAAAAAAAATTTTGGCATTAACTTTTAAAAAAACTTTTACGTTCTCATTTTTAATAGTACAATCCTTACATTAACATACACTTAATTTTATTCAGTATCCTGTCTCTGTTTGATAAATAGATAGTTTCTGAAATGTTCCTCAAGACACATAAAATATCTTGGGTATAACTAAAACTTTTATCTCTAGAGCCAGAGCAGAACTGTATTTGTAGGCTAATTTAATAATTATATAATAATTTAACAAAAATCTTTCTGAATTAAGACCACCGATACAATTAAGGTGATGACAAAGTATTTGAAAAAATCGTTTCTCAAAACTTGCATATTATATGGCAAAATTCTAGAGTTTTAGCATAGTTTTATGTCATACAAATTCAATACCTTCATATTTCACATCTCCAATTTTTACTTCAGACATCAAAATGTTACCGTTTAGGTTAAAAGCAAGTAAATAAGAGGCAATTTTCCCTCTGTCTTCCTCACTTTTTAATGCAACAATAATACTGTCTTCAGTTCCGGGTATAAATTTGAAGGATGAGAACCCATGTGTGGGGTTAACAGGTCCAATTTTTCTCACTTCTATATTTTCAAAATTTTCATCCACAATAAACATTAGATTAGTTGCTCTTCGTTCATCTTTCACTTCATCATACGTTTCTGTACTAGCTCGACGAGGAAGAAAAAACCATTTTTTGTGTACATCACTCCAAACACCAGATTCATGGATAATATAACCTGGAAAGAAACAAAATAATATAACATTTATATTTATATAATTCTCTGGATGATAATTTAAATGGAAGAATAATATAAGATACATTAACTCAAGGAAATAAATATATTAGCCCTAATACTATTAGCTTATATACCGTAATAAAACCTAGTATAAAAACATACTAGGTTTTAGTATACTAACAATTAACTTCAGGTTTTAAATACAGTATGTGCATTAAGAGCATTGTGCAAAAGCTTTTCTTATAGTTTATAGATGATATTTTTAATTCTAATTTTTAAACTTAGCATGAATTAAAATGAATTAGATTATTAGACTGTCAAATTAATTATTATATACATAACCAAAAACAGATTAAAAGTGCTAGAAAAAGTAACACACAACAAAGCTTCATTTTAAAATAATTAATTGAAATGAAAGAATATTACCAGGCAATAAAGTACCAGTTTTTTGTCTTAAAGCATTGTATTTGTCATGCCAATCAAGATGTTCAACATCCCCATCAGGTCCTATAGATTTCACCCACTGAGGATTGAGGTTGAGTACTTCCCCTTTTTCTGTTGTCCATTCTTTACCCAAACCACCAACAAAAAGACGCTGATTTTTTACGGTGGCCCATTCACATTTGAAACCTTTAAATGTGAAGAAAGTGATGTACTCTAAATTAAATTAACATACTAGGGTAAATTAATTCAAATGTATAATTGCAGTATTGCAGCAAAAACTTTGATAATCTTTTAAACTGTATAAACATTGTGTTACAGTAATGTATTTAACTGCAAAATGTTGAGAAATTTAAGTAAAAGTGGATTTGTATTAATTATAGGTTCAAACAAAGTAATATACATCCTTACAAATAGTAGCTTAGTGGGGATACATTATATAATAGTACCCGGGCTCTTAAATTTTTAATAATAATAAATTTTTACATCCATCTACTGTAATAGAAAGCTTACAACTTAGGGTTGGCATGTATGTTATATGTAAACAAAAAACACCTTTTTCTTCAGAAATAGTTCTGATCAAATAAGGACATTTTGCACAGCTCAAGTATAATTTCCTTTAATTTACCATCATTCCCAATTTAGACCTTAGTAACTATTTGTTACCCGGTATGTGGAAAATAATGATTATCTGTTAAGGGGGCCATCCATCTATTACATATGCACTGGTGGTGGGGGGGGGGGGGGGATAGATATAGTAGATACCCCTATCACAATAAAAATTTATATAATGGTGACAAGTTTAAGTATAAGTCCACTGTTCCACCATTCATGGAAAATAATGATTATCTGTTAAGGGGGCCATCCATCTATTACATATGCACTGGTGGTGGGGGGGGGGTGATAGATATAGTAGATACCCCTATCACAATAAAAATTTATATAATGGTGACAAGTTTAAGTCTAAGTCCACTGTTCCACCATTCTATGTATAAGTGAGTGTGACATAATTGGTTACATAATTATTTTGTCAGCTAAACCAATGGTTATTAAACATTTTTTATTCTCTGCGCCCTTGTCAAACCCAGGTTTTCCCCAGATATCATATGTCAAATTCTAACAAATACACTTCCAAATAGCAAATATCTTTTTAAATTAAAGAGTTATTTGACCAGTTCTGCAATATGTTACATCCTGTCACATTGGATTGAAAATGGAAATTAAATTGGGAAAATTGTGCCCCTTTGAGGAAGCCAGGGGTCCCTAATGTACACAGTTTTAGAAGCACTGGGCATTGCTAAACAGACTAAGAGAAAACAGTTACATATTTTTAAAAGGACTCAAAGTGACTTCGTTTAATTGCAGTGTATTTCATAATTTCTATAAATAAATTCAATCAGATGTTTGGGGTGGGTGACAATTCTAACTTGCACATATGCATGGGAAGGGGTGTTCAAAAATGTAGTGGGGGCATGGAAATGTGACTCTTTTGGCATAAATTAATATCTGGATAGTCCCTAACAATTTTATAATAAAGTGAAAAATACATTATTATAGTACCTATTAAATTTGATTTAATTGTTCATGCATATATTTTTCAGACAGTTTGGATAATATAGTAAACAGAAACACACTGTCCCAAACATGATTATTGGTAAGGAGTAAATGCTCACAGCACTTACAGTGTACCATTTAATCTGAATAAACCTTTTTTTAAATTATGGAATTACCAGTAATGCTGCCATCGAAATAAAATATAGATACAGAATTGGAATATACTGGTATCAATTTAAAGAACGATTTAAATTTTTAAAAAATTTCTGTGGCATGGTGAGAGCTCCCCATGGTTACCGGTAAGTAGAAAAGTGAGGTTGGAGGGGTGGAAGAGAGGCTGTTCGTAGCTTGTATGCTGTAGCATGACAACCCACTACTTGTCACATGATTCACAGGTAAATCCACTATTGATTAATTTTCCATAAATTAAAAAGTATTCAGAATTCAGCTATCACAAATTTTTTAAACAAAAATTATAACTAAATTAGCCTTAAGTCATTTTTTTAATTTTATTTATTAGGCATACCTTTATTGTTTTTTCCATTACCATCAGCTAATATCACCCATGGCAAAACATTATAATTATTTATTTCATAAATAATCCCTGTTCTATCATCAACAGTATACAGTTTTCCATTAAATATCACAAGCTCTGATAGCTCCATTCCTCGATCACCAGCTGCGATATTGGAAAACAGGACTTTTGGTTGTGCTAATTTCACTTTAACTTCATCTCTTTTATCAGACAGAGTGAGGTTTCCTTGGCGATAATAACTTATCCAAGTTGACTTTTTCTCTCTGCTTTTTGAGTCAGTGTCAAGGTCTGTAATCAAACCAATACTATACACAATGCCAGATATAGTTTTTGAAGGATTAGTCAATGGATATGTTGGATCATAATGTTTGGTGTTAACAGAGTCAGAAAGTAGCTTTTTATCAAGATCACAGTATGAGTGTGGCGATTTTGGCATGAACATAATAAGTAGGATGAGAATGGACGCTGACAAAACACCAGCGTAAATGACAACTCTCGGCTTCAAATGAAATCTGGCGTTACCAACTCGGTAGGACGTAGGCCGACGGATTGCTTTGGTCCATTCATGGACAGTAGACGGATATGGAGAAGATGACAACATGTTTATGTCGTCGTCATCAACAGGCAGACTCATGGGTGCATAAAATAAGGAATGCCAATCATACTCATAGTGGCTACGAGGTGGAAACATTAACACAAGCTGTCAACGTGTCTAACAGTTACACCAGTAAACATCGCCATCATTTGTTTAGAAGTACTGCAGTAAATAGTGTCTACACGTAATAAACCAGCTATGCCAGGAACGCCTTGGGAGTTGAAGCATTGAAGTTGAAGGAGATTTATTTCTGTTTTACACAACATGATGTTTTCATTGAAAATATGAAATAATTTGGTGTATATTATTTGCAGTTAAATAAATAGTTAAGGATTACATTATTTGTGAAAATTGTATTTACAAGAAAATAGTTGCTATGGTAATGAATGTATGCTACACAGTCAATGACCCATTAAGGGTGTTGAGTGGTAGTTAGGATCATTGTTTCTTTCAGACAATCTTCTCCCCGGGGGGGGGGGGAATTCAGATGGGCAGTTAAGTAGCGAAGGAAGCGGAGGTGGTGGTCCACTCTGTATCACTTTTTTGTTTCTTTATATGGAGGGGTGGCATTTTCGGTCAACTGCAGTTTCATTGACTATTTTCGGCGTAGGTCATATCCGGAGTCAGTACCTTTATGAGCCTTTCAATGAATTAAAAATAGTATAAACGCCTTTGTTTGTACACGCTGCCAGATGGCATATCTAGGTGAGACTGGTGGCGCCTCTCGGATAGATCCAATGAACACCTTCACAAAATATTGCATAAGGATAAACAGTCTCATATCTCTAAACACTTCAAAAGAAGCGACCAAAATTGCTCAAGGGATTTGACTATCGCCGCCATTGTGTCTTTTTATCAAAATACCATCCAGGGTGAAATGAAGAACTAGCTGATTATGACTTATGAGATATTGAAACCACTTAGCATGAATGTTATGTTCTTCTTCACTTTAACCCCCCCCCCCCCCGCTTTTTTTTTCTTCTTCTTTTTATAACCAATCACAATGGACTTACCTTTCCTTTCTTATGTCCCATTTGGCCTTTATTAACTCTCTTACCTACACTATTTCTATTAATATTAGATAGCTAACAATCAATTTATTGATCATTATGGCTCCTGGTTTGAATTCACATTTTACCTTCTCTTAGATGAGTTGAATTCAAGGCTAACGAGTCTCATCCACCCGGGATGCTTTGGACCTCAGCTTTCAAACGGCTTGACCTCGAAGAAATCTGTTATCGCATTCGGAGCACCCCAGGGCTCAGCCCCTGGGTGCAGTGATCAAGCACATGTTCGCGGACGATAACCAACTTCATCAATGCGTGATCCCCTTTCAGTTCCCTCAACTTCTTAGTATGACACAGAAGATAGTAGAGTCAGTTAAGCACCGGATGACCATAAACAAGCTCAAATTGAATGATGAAAAGACTGAGATGATCCCCATTGCCACCGCTCAGAAGCAAAAAGCTGTAAATAACACATCACTTACTCTCTCAGGTGTGCGGATTGAGTTTGCTCAAACAGTGCGTAACCTGGGTGTCTACCTAGATAGAACATTAATTTTGAATTAATATGCTTTGCAAGGCGATGTTTCTAGAGCTGCGCAGGATAAGTCATATCAGACCTTTCTTAACGTTCGACTCACCAAAGAGGCTGCTGTCTGCATTCGTGCTATCACGCATGGACTACTGCAATGCTCTCATTGTGGGTCTTCCAGTTACTGGATACAATTCAAATAGCACAGAATAATGCGGTTGGCTTTGTTCTTCGCAAACGCAAATTCGACCATGCTAAAACACTTCTGAGAGAGTTGCACTGGCTGCCGGTCCGCGCTCGCATAGAGTACAAAATTGCAGCTTTGTGCTACCGCTGCTTACAGCGCCGTCCTATCTCAAAGCACTCATGACGCCTTATGTACCCAAACGACAGCTCCGCTCATCCGATAGTGGCAAAATATCGATACCGCGTGTTCGCCTTGAGACTTACGGAAAGCGCACTTTCGCATTTGCTGGCTCAACAATTTGGAACGCCCTTCCTGTCTCTCTCAGAAACAGCCAGACACTGGAGTCCTTTAAAACCGATTTAAAAACACATCTATTTCGCAAACACCTTCTTGGGTGATGTTTGACTACCATCTTTTTCCAGTTAATGTATATTGGCTTGTGTTGCTTTTGGTTGAAAGGGATGAAAGACTTTGACTTGGCATGCTCGTATGTAGTTTTTATATTGTTGCGTTTGTTTTTAAATGTGGTAAAATATGTATTGTTTTTATTTCTCTCTTTTAATATGGTGGACTTTGTACCGCGCTTCGAGCTTTTGGGGATGAAGCGTGATTTTTCAAATAAACTCTATTATTATTATTATTATTATGGCTTAAGTCCTGCTGAAACAAAAGAAGAAGAAAAATAACTTAGAATTTGCGGTAACAGCCTTTTTAAAAAAATCAACAAAATTAATATTTATCTATTGTCTTTTAACAACAAAACCTATTCTGTATGATTTGGTTAACTCGTGCAGAGATACTGATGTTCCATCAAGCTCCTCCACGGTTGGCGGATAGGGGATAGCCCACTATATATGGCGGGTACCCCGCCCGACAGTTATACGCTGGGCTGACGACGCTGTCGCGTAAAAAATGTTACGAAAGCTAAATCATAAAAGGAAAAACGAACTGATAATGGATTCCGACCTATGCCTCAACAAGGAAATGATTTAGGGATGAATACATGGAATGTTCTGAGTCTACACTGACCAGGAGCGCTGCTCACAATCTCCGTTTATTCCTAAAAAATTGTTGCCGGATGACAACAATAATGAGGTCAAGTTACTATCGAGTTTCATTGGATTCATTGAACTTAAAAAAATCTACATGAGCAAGTATGGAAATTCTGCTTCAATAATTTTCAGATTCGTGCGTTTGTCTGGTTGACACGAGGGGAAAATGCTAAGATGATGGAGCTACCATACATGGAATGCATAATGGAGTTCAAGCAAGAGTTAGAGAGCTACATCCAAGAGTAGTTTTTGTTCTATCGGATGCCGCATTCATTGAATTTGGTGGTTACTAGTTACGTACATGGTTTTGACAATTTAATTTGTTTTAAGATTTGGCTCATATTCGTAGAATGAACAAAACGTAACAAAGGACTTAAAATCAGTCTACTAAGAAAATGACACCAAAGCTAGTGATAATAACAATATTCAATTTAAGTTTACTATTAAATTTCTATAAAAATCAAATATACAGCAACGCACACAAAAATAATATATCAACTTACTAGATGTAACGGACTATGTTTTCACATGAAAACAGAGAGGTAGCATGAGTGAACAGTGAATTGTGTTGACCATGTTTTTTCCACGAGGAGAGACAATCAATGGATTGTATTTTGAGATGCAAATGTGAACTCCACGTTTTTGGAGAGTAAAATTATGTTTTTGTCAGAGCGGTTGTTTTCCACGCTTTGCTGGTAATAAAGTATGAGTTGACTGAGATAAGGAGAGCTGAGCGCAAGGAGAGTCAGAGTTAGTCGGAGTTGAGTTAGAGTTGAGATGTAGTACAGTTGAGCTGAGTTATAGCAGTGTGAGGACGTGTCTTTCTGAGTGATGGAATATTATATATATATATATGTGAAATGATTACATTCATGCAAGGATTATTATTAATATTATCTGTGTAAATTGTGATTTAATAAAGTACTGTAAGTTTAACCAGGATTCAGTATTCTTATTTGCGTGCCTGGATAACAAGAGGAAGAACGATGAAGTCTTAGCCGGCATTCTGAATTACTAACTTAAAACAAGTAACCATGCTACTGACATAACCCACAGCCTAAGAAATAAGTTACAATGATAATGATGTCAGAGTATGTGTGTTACACTAGACTTACAGCATAGCATGTGAAAAGGTACAAGCCTCGTAAAATACAAAGATTAATTTACCCAAACACATAAAGAATACAATCTTGCAATTATTTAACGTCTTGTAAAGGTCTAGGAAAATATAGCAAAAATCTCTCACGGTTAAAGGAAAGCTGCTGGGAGTAAATCAGAACCCTTCTAGAAAAGACTTTATAGAAAATGCGCCACCTGATATAATTCTGTAGGACAAATAGAATGTCCTCATCCTCCTCATCCTCATGTCCCTTAGTCCTTGGACCGTTGGGGGGCCACAGATGACATGTGAACCATCCTCCTCCATTCCTCTCTGTCTTCAGCACTACGCACAGCATCGCCAAGTGTTAGTACTGTCCACTCTTTGATGTTATCCTCCCATATTTTTCTTTGTCTTCATCTTCTTCTCCCTCCTGTTGTGGTGCCCTGCAATATTTCTTTGGCAAGCCCTTGTTTCCTTGTTATGTGGCCGTACCATTGTAGTTTGCGTTTTTTCACAGTCACCAGTAGGTCATCGTACTCCCCAATAGCCTGACGAACCCTTTCTTTCACTGTATCATTAGAGATATGGTCCCTATAGCAGATGCCAAAAATGCTTCTGAAGCATCTCATCTTCATCGCCTTTATTTTCCTTTCAAGATCGGCTGTTAATGTCCATGATTCGCAGGCATACATGAAAATGGAGAGGACTAATGAGTGCATCAGCCTGATTTTGGTGCTGGCGTCTATATTTTTGTCATTCCATATTTTCTTGAGCTTGTTTAGTGCTGTTGTAGTCTGCGCAATCCTGGACATCAGTTCGGGCTTGGAGCCTTCTTCTGAGACTAATGCTCCTAGGTATTTGAAGCGGCCGACAGTCTCTAATCTTTCCTCCCCGACCTTAATTTCAGTGGTGATGCCTGCGGTATTATTTGTCATCAGTTTTGTCTTTTCGGCACTGATTAGCATGCCGTAGGACGACGAGGTCTTATCG